TATATATATATATATATATATATACATACATATATATATATATATATATATATATATATATATATATATATATATATATATATATATATATATATATATATATATATGTATATATATATATATATATATATATATATATATATATATATATATATATATATATATATATATATATATATATATATATATATATATATATATATATATATATATATATATTTAAGAAATAAGGTATCATTTTAAAACATCTATCGGGATATAAATACGGGTTGGTCACGAGATCAAATTCCATAAAGCCCGAAGGGCTTTATGGTAAATTTATAGCCCGATAGATGTTTTAAAATGATACCTTATTACTTATATTTACATTTGTGACTTATTCATATTTTATATTTGCCTGATTATAATCTTTAACGCGTGAAACGTTTTATTTTTCAAACCTAACGGCACGTGTTTGATCCATTGATTGCGCGTCGACCCTTTATGACGTCACTGAGAAATTACGTCGAACGTTTATGACGCGAGGAACCCGTGTTTATACGGATATAGATACGCGTTGCTTTTAATATCTATACTACTATATTAAAATAATAGACTCGAATTTTTGGCCTTTAATACCGATAAATCGGAAGAGTACTGTCTTTTGTTATATATATTTTAAACATAATTGGTACTTGAAGATTACCAATTTGTTTTTATTTTTTCTCAATTAGCCTTCGCTAATTAATAATCAACGAAAATTCCACAAAAAATTCCGGAAATCATTTGGATTTTTTGGATTTTACAATCTTGCGCGTGCGCATTACATTCACGGTAAATCACGGTGTTCAAATCAGAGAAGACAAAAGAAGTGCTAAGTAGATAATTATATATTTGTTATTTTATAATTTCTCTAATAAGAAATAAGAAAATAAGAAATCATAAATATATATAAGAAATCATAAATATTCATGAATAGAATATATAGCAAATTTCCAATGAAAATTTGCACGTATTTGTATTATCTTTCTGAGTTTATCCATACAAATGTGATATTGTGGCCACGTGGGTAATCATTCGCCGTCTCGGAGACACATTTATTATATGTAATTTATGTCTCTGGCCATCTCAACAGGGGCAAAAAGCTCATGATCGTAGGAGCAATATTAATGTAACTACCCAATTTTATTTTATCCTTCCTTTCTTTTATGTTTTTTTAGGGGAAGGGGGGGGGGTTACAACTCCAGCTAGAATCACATCTTAGTGAAGTAAGCATTCTTTTTCCGCCAAAAATTACAATAACATTATTTTCATTTCTTAACTTTGAAACAAATCGAAGTAATTAAATAACGTCAATATAACCCATATTTTCAATTTGAAATGTGTCTAAATGATTGCAACTTGAATTTGTTCGCCATGTTTACTATTACCTTCACTGCTGAAATTTATAACGCGGTAAATATGAAACATAAACTAAGGGCAAAGAAATATTTGATTCCATGCAAAAAATTCACATTAAATTTCTTAGAAGTGCAGTGAAATCAATAGCATTATTGTAGGTTTATAGCTTTGTTATGTAAATACATGTAATGTCCTCTGACCCTGGTCTGTCAACAGTACGGTGAACACCCCCTGCAATGCTTGCGCCGTGCATTTCCCACGTGAACCATCAAAGAAAGCATTTTATTGTTTATATCTAAATTCACCTCTAAAAATTTCTTTAACTTTCAAAAAAAGTGGGTGAAATATGTAAATTATTGTTATTGATCTTCAGTACGTTATATAGAAGGGACAGCCTGTTCTTCTAAATATGTAAAGGTTGTCATGGTAACTACGCTTTATAGGTATCAGCAGTGCTGAACTCTTTGTTGTTGTCATATTTTCAATAAATATCCATAATTTCTTTTATTAAATTTGTTTGGAAAGGTGAAATTTATGTAAGCTCCGGCGTGATTCTAACTCATGACTTGATTTATAGCTAACTGATGGTCAAAGCCATTCTGCGCTACGCCGTTACGCAACAATTTTGCAAAAAAAAAAAAAAAAAAAAAAAAAAAAAAAAAAAAAAAAAAAAGCAAAACAAAACAAAACAAAAACAAAAAAACCCCAGAATTATATTCACATTCATTGTTTATCTCAAAAGTACCTTACAATATCAATGTGTCGATGTATCTATTTTGTAAATGTCCGATATGCACATGGATGCATTCATAACAATGTCAACCCGTGTCAACACGCACGGGTCAAAGTCTAGTAGTGTTATATAAAAGAAAACATTTGCAAATGTATGTATGTATGTATATATATATATATATATATATATATATATATATATATATATATATATATATATATATATATATATATATATATATATATATATATATATATATATATATATATATTTACATACATACAAAAAATTCTTTTAGATGAAAACGATTCATCAAGTTTGTCCTTTTAAAAAATGTGTTTCCCTCTGACAAAATCTAGTTTTTCTAATTACATTCTGAAAACTGGGTCTTCCTTCCTTTTCCTATGGACAAATGTAGAGATGGTCTACATAAAGTCTTACTCTTCCTTGTGAAAAACGAGCTTCCTAAATGTCCTTTGTATTCAAAGTACCTGGATATTAGTTACTTAAATGGAAATTCATGTTCTGAAGCCAAGATATTAATTTATGATATGTTACTTATTAAACTTTTATATAACAACCAAACTTTTCCAGCCATGTGTTGGCCTTGAGTAGTCACTAAATTTTGATATGGATTAAATAAAATATCTTTGCCTCCATAATAAAAAGGCAACAAGTTTTCCCCCTTGCATGCTTTGGCGTACGATTTCATATACTTTTTTTCTAACTTTTAAAATGTGAAATATTAGGTGATGCCACTTATGCACGAAATGTGATAAAACTAGTATATAGTATTAGTTTTCAGAGGTTCTCCCATTAAATATTTTAATTTCAGAATCTAATCTAAAACAATTTTTAGAAAGCTATGAATATGTTAATAAACATCATTACATTTAAAATCATTAAATTCATAAAGATGCTTTTCTGTGTCTCACTTATAATGAAGATAATGTTGTTTAGTAACCACAAAATATAATGTAGCATTTGCAGATTACTTTACATCTATTAATGTTATAATTGTATTTATTTATTAATCAACCATCAAGTCAACCACAAAACATACAACAGTTCACTAATAATACAAAATTAATCACTTGTAGATGGTGATGTTAACTACAATCACCGATGATGAAAATGATTTTAAATAAGAACAGATTAGTCCATCAATGATAAAAAATAATATAAATATACATTATCAATGGACGCAAAACATAACATTATATTAATCTATATACTGTATCATTAATGGCTTCTGTCTCAATCGTGGTTTCTACAGTGCTGTGAATAATGCTTTATCCAAATCAAATGACAGGGAGTTCCCTTTTCTTTATTTCTAATCTTATAGATCTATTGATAGCAATTGCAAAATTAATGCATTTCCTATGCAATGTTTACATACCTTACATAGAAAAGACATTAACTAAAATTTGTAATACAATTTAGGATTTATTCAAGGTATTGGGGAAGTTAAAATGTGTACATTTACATGTACATGTACTGATGTTAAAACAAACCATATATATCGAAATGCGTGAAAATGAGCCAATACTCTCCCTGATGGCCTAAATGTTTTGTTAAATATAACTAGCTCCGATATTGTCAAAAATTCAATTACGTTAAAATGTAAATATAAGAAGCAATAGACTAGGTAATGTACGTGGTTTATGGGTTATTAATGCAGTGGAGCACATGGAAATTCATAAAGAGTTGTTTCCAAATAATCATGTGCTCCACTGTAAATATACCCTCATAAACCCCCAGAACAAATCATTTCTTAATAGTTTAATAGAGTAGTTTATAATTATGATAAAATGTTACTTTTTAACATTACTAGTATTTTAATGCCAGAGCCAGTGGTTTGTGTGTGCTTTTAAGGAATTTTTTCTTCTTCAAAGGATTGTATCGTTTTCCCTGCTATCAGCACAGTAAGTTGCTCTCATCCTTCTAGTTTATTTTTCCTTAAATGATTTTGCAATTTTTCAATAACTTTTTTTCATATGGAGGTGAGTATACCTGTTTTACAGGACCTGTTTAGAGCAAAGTGTGTAAGTGGAGTATTATAAAACACTAATTATGTACGGAAAGATTAGATAATCATTGTTTTATCTGCGTTTTTAATATATCAAATGCAAAATGTCAGGAATAGAAAATTGCATATATGTTCTCACATCTTAATTTCAGTGATGTTAATTATACTAGGTATGTTATACAAATCGGGAGAAAATACATATATATCATTATTTTGGTTTCATTTTCTTTTTTGTATATTAATTTATATCTTACAAAAAAATGTTCATAATGGTATGGCGTGCACTGTAGCTCATGTTAATTAATTCCAATCATCGTCACTGGAGCCTTTCTCCTCCTCATCTTCTTCTTCACTTCCTGCTATCATATCACGCATGCGCAGCACCTTTTCCATAACTTTGTAAACGTCAATGTTTCTTTTTTTGCTCATCTTTCACCGGGTGTAATTTTTCTTTATCGAAGAAAATCATTATTTCTCTATGCATGTTATTCATCAAAAGTTACATGTACTAGTATTTCATAAGCTACCAAAGCATTTTTTTAGTAGTGATGCATTTAGTGAATAAAAGCTAATTTTTACAAAAGGTATGGCTCCTTTTTCATTAAACATTAATTTCATAAACATGTTGTTGGAGATATAAAACCCTACGACTGGCACTAACCATGTGAAACTATTGAATACTAAACAAGGAAAAGAAAGGAATACTTACTAGGGTTAAAACTTGTGATAGCTTCTAACAGTTTACTCCTATCGTTCACTCGAGGTGGTTGCTTGGATATTGGATTCAACTGAGGAATGGTTTTAAGATGTTTCTGTAAGGGAGAAACTGAATTTGAAGAAATCTTACAAATAGACCCATCAGTCATTGGCATAGGCGGTGGTGGAGTTGGAGGGGGAGCTACCTCTTGGTCCATATATGATGGGGGTGGAGGAAGTAAATTTGGCTTTGTACTTGAATGTGGGGGTATCAGTTGGAGATGAGAAGTTTTGTCCAGAAGAAGGTTGCTGACTTTGCTTCGAGACTCCAATAATTTCAAGAGTTGTTCGAACTGACACATTTGAAATTGGCTTCTCAATGAGAATTTTATATCCTTCTATTTTATCATGAGAATACTGGGGTTCAGTGAGAGGATTTCCTGGGCCACTGTGGTCATTGCTGTGATAATCATGACTCTTTGCAGGCACGTCCAAGTGTTCAGGCGTAGGTTGGTTGTTTTGAGTGTTTGTTTGATCGCTATCAGCATAATCTAATAAGAACTCTACTCCATGTTTCCTTTTTTCATTTCTCTGTGCTATATTTCGAAGATGTCGAGGTGTTGTCTTTCGAAGAACAACTTTCTTTGGTCTCTGCAGAGAAAAATTCAGCATGTACTTTTCCTAATTGTAAATCTGTCATTTTCATATTGAATATTTCAAAGAGATGAAGTGGTATAGTGAAAGGAAATATGCATGCGTGTTTTAATCCCAATTATATGTAACGAGTATAGAAAGATTGTATTTAAAATAAGTGAGGAAAATAACGTATTCATTTTATCCATCAATAAATAAATCAATCAATCACCTTTTATCAAAGTTGTTTTTTATTTTCTATATTTGTGACATCTTTCTGAATGTCCATCAACCATAATTCGATGAAATAACTTGGATTTATGTAAAATTTCAAAGAGTCTTCTCCATCAACTCTAAAATAAAAATACATAAACTCAATAGAGATGCTTAATCTTATTGTATTTACCTAATGCACAAATCTCTGGAAAAATGAAGTTTCTGAACACTGGTGCCACATGATAGCTTGGAGCTATGTATCAGTTAAATAATAAACATAAAATGTCTTTGATCCATGAATATATTTGCGCTGAAGCAAACCTATGGTATTTTCGAAATAATTTTATACCTAAGGTTTGAATGTTTATTTCAGGTGTAAGATCTGGAAGACGACTTATTATCTGCAAGTAGGACATTGAAGCATTATTATTATAAGAAGAACATGTCGACCTAATGTTCAAATTTATTTTTTCAATCTAATTAAAGCAAGAATATCTTTATTATAAAGTCACAAGATCTGATATCTTACACACCATATAATCAATAAAATTCGTGAAGATCTTTTTGAAAGAAAAAACAAATTGCAATACATGTATCAATGCAAAGATTTGGCAAATACATCATTGTATCTTTATCTTTCTTTTAAGTCAGTGAGTATTTACATGTAGGGTTAAGTTTGTACAGTGCAGGTTTAGCTTCACACTGACTGTAAGCTTCCAGTATACATCGAGGTATTGTAGATCTGGACACCACCTGTTGGAGATGCCGGGTAGAACTCTTGGATTTCACTGTTGATGGATACTACCAAGAATAATTCCAATATTACTACTAAGCATAGAGGGCTACATTGTAAATATCAGAGAGTATTTTATCATAATTTTTTTGTAAAATTCACGCAAGTATTAAACCAGTACAATCCTGCTTTTTTTTTTCTCTCTCAATAATATGTAAGGATAATTCTAAAAGAAAAAAAACGATTTCAAAGGAAACATTTTTTCTATACACTGAATAAAACAATTTACTGAAAACAATAAAGACGCATTTATTAATTTATCACTTATATCCTACGGCCTAAAATTGTATCATACGCTGAATAATACTTTCATTCTACCACGTTCTTCTGCAACTTCCATCCTCGAGACTTTCTCTTGAATATGGTTGATGCGCCTCTGGAACTGCCGCGTGCGGTCCGTGAACGTCTGCACTTCCTGTGACAGCTCGGTAAACAAGTCCTCCGCATGCTTGCTGAGACTGCTGAGCTGTAGAATTATGTTACTAAGCGTGTGATTGTGATTTCCAGCTCATTTTTGATACCATCCCCTACCTCTACCCAACTAACCTTTATGGGTTTATTGCCGTAGAAATGGCAGGGTCTTTTATTTTCACTTTTTAGTGAGAAAGTAAGAATAAAGAAAAATAAAAATTCCAACTACTAAGTTCAAATATATCATCATTAGTGTATTAGATACTACCGCACAGTACCTCATATATATATCACCCCAAAGAGTATTTACATGGAATTAACAATTAACAGTCTTTAATAGTAATGTTTTACTATATACATGTGTATACCGTTGGAATTTTAATTTCAAATAATTTTATTTATATGATGATCAGTCTAAAGTAACCACTTACGTTATAATATATACTAACGTTACATGTAAATATCCAGGGAATCTTCCAATTATATTTTCTTCTGAAAAGTTCTGGGTATTATAAGTACGATATTAAGATTGGGATTACTTTTCTTTATGCATGTAAAGAGATAATGAGCTGATCTTCCTGTTTATAATCTAGATCTACCCCTTGTTATGAAATCTGAGATCCAATACAGTATTTTTGTTGTAATCTTTAAGTCACCCGGTTGTTTATCTTTAAAAAAAAAATAAATTAAAAAAGTAAGTTTTTTTTTCATTGAATGACTTTGTACTTTAGAGTGAACTGTCATAAGGAAATAATAAATAAGTAAGATAAAGTTATTCTTAAATTAGAAAATGACTAGGATAGATAACATTGAAAATCAATGTAGTTTGTTACAAGAGCCTGGGCACAGTTGCGTTTCCGTTTTGTTTACAATTTTAAATTTATATTTTCCTTCAAAAAATAACTTTAGTTTCATGAATCGAACTTACACGAAAATTCTTAAAATTCAATGGCAGCGACATTCTTCATAACATCATGTGAAACATCTCTGTTTGTAAACATGGGGACGGGCTCTGTTATTGTTAATGTTTACATTTATTATTAAAAGTTTTGAAATATTTAAGTGACATCTTCTTCATTTATTTGGTATCAAGTCATCATACATAAACAATTTACATATATTTGTCAATAATAAATAATTTGAAAGACATCGTATGTGGGAGACTTATTATTGTATTAAACCTCTATAAACCAAGTAAAAACTCGTTATCTCGAAGTCGATGTTACTGATGAAAAACTTCGAGATATTCGAGTATTCGAGACATCAAGGGTAAAATACTTAAAGAATAAGTGGTTGCATGGGACTACCAAATCACTTCGACATATCCATGGTATTCGAGATATCAGTGTTCGAGATACCGAAGTTCAACTTTATTCTAATAATAAACAACATATTCAAGTAGCAAAAAAAAAAAAATATGAATACTGTGACTAGCTGACAGCAGGATACTCATGAAAGCTCGAGAGCTTTTTTCCTCAATGGGATTCTAATGACAAAGAATTAGCATTCACAATGCATTTAGTTTGCCCCATTTACAAGAGAAAAAAAAGAAATATGAGAATTTATTACATTTTCTACAGTGAAATACTGTGATTTATTTATTGAATAAAAGTTACATTCTCTCACATTGTGAAAGGATACAGTGGCTGCAACGTTATTGTTGACAACTTACACGAACGATCACGTTACACGAACGATTCCGCACGATTAACGCACGATAAAATCTGTTACACGAACGATCCTTCACGCACACGTTTCTACACGTTACACGATCTTACACGATTGCTAACGCAAACGCACGATTCTTCAGGCAAAATATTTCAAATTCTTTAGGAATGGATATTTTCAAAACGAAATAAGGCTTAATACTTATTTTAGATTTCAAATAATTATTGATATTATTTCATCAACTTTGAAAAATGAAAAAAAAAAAATAGAAATGGAAATTTCTGGAACTAAATACATGTAAGACTTATTAAGTATTTTAGATTACAATAACTATTTACATAATTCTCCGACTTAAGAAAACTGATTTTTTTTTTTCATTCTATCAGAAGGTGTACATGTAGGTGATTGAATTGGATCTCTTAATATTCAGAAAGGGATAAGTTTGAAAAAATGGCATGAAAATGAATAATAAATTATAAGTTATATCCAAGTTTCCATTTGTGAATCTCTAAAATCAACAATTATTTTAAAAATCAATTTACAATTTACAAATCATTTATTTGCAGAAATTATAAAAATAATTAAAAGTAAGCTCCAGAGATAAACACTGATAAACGAAACCCCGACAATCATGTCGAGTACATGTACTAAATATTTATGTAAGCATTGAAAATTGTTCATTTATTTATTTGTAAAATATCTATTTTTGATCTATTGATTTTAAAAATAACTTGACCATAATTAGCAGTTAACATAATTAACACCAGAGAAATAAATCATTAAACATCTAAGTACGGTTTATCACAAAAAAATCACGCTATTTGACGAGAACACAATATTGGACGACTTACTATAATGCTTATTTTCAAGCGATAATTAGTTCGTTCTGCTTTCAATTATGTAAATCGCCATTCATTTATTTTATTTGGATTAAAAAAAAAAAAACAAAAAAAAAACAAAAAACAAAAAAAAACAAAAAAACAGACAAGCGAAATGTTTGTATAACAAATAACATTCCGATAAAAACTTACAAAACGAAATTTACACGTTTCTTAACGCACAATCACGCACGATAAAAACCGCAAACGATTGAGTCTGATACACGCACGATCTCGCACGTTACACGAACGATCACGCACGTTACACGAACGATTCTACACGATTGGTTTTCAACAATAACGTTGCAGCCACTGTACCAAAGCGATATTCTCTCACAGTGTGAAAGGATACCAAAGTGATATTCTCTCACAGTGCGAAAGGATATCAAAGTAAGTAAAAAATAATTTCTGGCCTTTTATTAGATAGAGATAGTAACTATTTTTATCGTCTTAATAGAGACTAAAGCTGCCAATTTCTTCCCAAATACATTGCAAAAATCCATGTTACAATGTTTACAATCTCACAACTGCTAAGCTAATTTTAAAAAACATCTCAAACGCTCAATTATGACCTTCACAGCCTATGACGCTTCGCACTCTTGAAAATATCAAAAAATCCTGTCCCACTCGTGAAATAAATTCAATATCCATATCAGGATGGTTTATTTACTATATGGAGGATATTCAATGTTTTGTAGTTGGATATGGAATTTATTTCACTTGTGGGACAGGATTTTTTATATTTTCACGACTGCAACGAGTGCGAAGCACGAGTTAAAATATATAAAAAAAAATCCTGTCTCACGAGTGAAATAAATTCCATATCCAACTACAAAACATTGAATTTTCTGTTCATTACATTTTCTTTGATTTTTTCCATTGCCCCTGTCTTTTTGTAACACAGTTTCATAGGTAACACAGTTTCATTATTTTTTACTTACTTTGATATTCTTCACACTGTGAGAGAATATAACTTTGGTATCCTTTCACATTGTTAGAGAATATCACTTTTATTTAATAAAAAAAAAAATCCCAGTATTTTACTCTAGGAAATGTTATATATATATATATATATATATATATATATATATATATATATATATATATATATATATATATATATATATATATATATATATATATATATATATATATATATATATATATATATATATATATATATATATATATATATATATATATATAGCACTATATAAAAACCAACAACACTGTATATCCTTAGTGTGGGATCTACTAAGTAGAGACAAGGTCACGGATGGAAATTTATATAAAGCACTAAAAATGACAAACGCCACGAACAATAATAATTGTCAAATTTTCGGGACGACCTGTCCCTTCCTCGGGACCAAGAAAAAAGTTAAGAAGTCATAAAAACAAAGGAAATAGAGAAACAAAAACAACTAGCACCACTACTAGACTACCAAACACTCAATATTTACAGTGTTATATATATATATATATATATATATATATATATATATATATATATATATATATATATATATATATATATATATATATATATATATATATGTAGATTGGCTTGCGTGAAAATTTGCATAAACGCCGAAGGCGTTTATGCATAAAATTATCACGCAAGCCAATCGATTGATCATCGTCATGAAACCAAAAAATCTGACAGTTATTCCTTATATTTACATGCTCTTGATTCTGCAAATTCACGTGCTACAAGTCCCGCTTCTGTCTCTATTTGTTCCCGCACTGCACGTGATTTTTTTCACCACGCCTATCGATGAACCAGTAGATTTATGTAGAAATAAAGTATTTTTACTATTTGAAATTTTATCTCGGACAAAGACATTGGAATTGTATAGAGAGAGAGAGAGAGAGAGAGAGAGAGAGAGAGAGGATATTCAATGTTTTGTAGATGAATATGGAATTTATTTCACGAGTGGGACAGGATTTTTTTATATTTTCACGAGTTCGAAGCACGAGTGAAAATATCAAAAAATCCTGTCCACTAGTGAAATAAATTCCATATTCATCTACAAAACATTGAATTTTCTGTTTATTACATTTTCTTTGATTTTCCCTTTGCCTCTGTCTTTTCTTAACACATTGTCATAGGCTTGACGTCATAGTTGAGCGGTTGAGACGTCATGGCTTAGCAGTTGTGTGATTGAAAACATTACGTACATAGCATGGATTTTAGCAACATATTTGGGAAGACATTTGCAGTTTTAGCTTTATCAAGATGCTTAGTTACTATTTCTATCTTATGACAGGCCAGAAATTATTTTTTGCTTACTTTGATATCCTTTATCACTGTGAGAGAATATCATTTTGGTATCATTTCACACTGTGAGAGAATATCACTTTTATTCAATAAATAAATCACAGTATTTCACTTTTGAAAATGTAATATATATATATATATATATATATATATATATATATATATATATATATATATATATATATATATATATATATATATATATATATATATACACACACACACACACACACTTAACAAAACTTCTAAGTGTTCACTCTAATAAATGCATTTATTTAAAAACTACATGATGGAATATTATGATATTTTCAAATTATTATAACCAATGAGTCTTCTCAACAATTGTCAAAAGAAAATCACTTATCACCGATGAAATCCAATGTCCCGTGACGAAGCTTAAAAACAATAAATCTGTACTTTGCGACACGTGCTTTGTGTAATCAGCTTCTTTTTGTGATCATTATCAATTTTTAACAACTGTTTTAACTAAAAAACACAAAACATGGGCAAAATGACCATTGAGGAAGGAGGGAGAGCCGTTGGAATGTTGATATCTGGATCATCCTTATGACACGTTTTACAAACTTTTATTTTACTGTTTATTTGTCCTTGATATTACTTTTAAAAATTAACAACCAGTATAAAAATCCATTTAAACACATTTTTCTATAGGTTATGTCTCATTTTTATCGCCAACTTATCCCAGTTTGAAAGCTTTGGACAAAATTTAACCAAACCGGAAGTGATCTGGATCTTCGTCTGAGGCCAAGGTTTCGCGTCACAACCAGGTTAAAAGATTGTTACATGGTCCTGAACCACTTTAGAAACATTTAAAGCAGCAACTTAAATGGTAAGAAATTGGCAACAAATTGGTGCTCATGGCAGTCCAATATCATCTGAAACAGTCTGAATCATCCTTAAAGAGGTACACGTACTTGCGTAACGCCCAAGAAGCTCGAGGGTCTAAGTGTTGACAAAAAGGCATCTGTGTGATGCACTGACCTGCCAAATACCCGGATCTAAATCCCATTGAACACATTTGGGACTTTCAAAAGGAATGTCCAAGCCCCCCCCCCCCCTTCCACACAATTTCAACGGTGTAGAAAGATCCATGCAGTAGGTGTGGCAGCAGATAGATCAACCTCCTATTCAAGGGTACATGGTATCCATGAGAAAAGGATGTCTTGCAATAATTTGAACGAGTGGTGGTCTTACTCCATAGAGATTATTTTATGTGAATTTTCATTTTGAGGGTACATCATGTCCTTGACACTTTGCTTTAAAGTCTGACGAGATACTTACATGAAATTTACGCAACATCGAACTGAAATATGCATTATCAACCATGAGTTAAAGAAAATATTTATTGTATGCATTTGTTCTTTATAACTTAAAAAAAATTTAGGTGAACACCTAGAAGTTTGGTTCAGTGTATATATATATATATATATATATATATATATATATATATATATATATATATATATATATATATATATATATATATATATATATATATAAACGGTCACCCACACCTTTTTTTAAATGTCCTGTTTTTGTACAGTACGTGTTGTATGTTGAAACATTGATCCTATACAGGAAGATAAAATAATTATATCTGTGCTTCTACTTAAAATATAAAATGCAAAATGACAGGAATAGAAAATCACAGGTGCTCTTATCACAACTTAAATTCAGTCATACACGGTAATCTAGACAAATCAGGATATAATATTACTTTAATTTCATTTTGTTTGTATATCATGGCATATATTGGGAAAAGACAACCATCGTGGTACAGTAAAACTTGCCTATAAGGACCTATAATATATGGAAATTTAGGTAATGCAAAAACTAAATCTCTTCCCCGTCCTTCATATCATGAATTTTTTTCGAAAATATCGATAAAAAAAAAGAATTTCAGCGACATAGAAACTAAAAATTCACAACCTAGGACTTTCTTAGAAGCAAGTTTCACTGTATAAGAAACATTGTGTTGTTTAGGGTGATCAATTCCAATCATCATCATCGGAACTATTCTCCTCATCTTCCACATCACTTGGTATCATTTCACTTATGCTCAGCATCTTTTCCATAAGGGCATGTACATCAATGTTTGCAGCAGGTATAGGCTTCTCTTCTATTTTTTCCTCCCATGGCTTTTTTACCGGACGTAATTTTCCTTTATCGAAAAATAATGAACAATATTCAAGTTATTATTTATAAGTAATAAGTATCATAAAGCAGAAATATTCTTGTTACATTTTTGTACATCAGTATTGCGATTCATAGCATCTTATTGTTACAAATGGTTTAAATTGCCTCTTCTTTCAGAAAACATTTTATCATTATATCTTGATGAAAATTATATTCACTACAAATCGCATAAATACCCAAACACTTCGACTTACCTTGGCCAAATTCTTTGATCTCTTGTAACAATTTACTTCTATTGTCATCTTTAGGTTGTTGCTTTGGAGTTGGTTTCAGCTTACGAGAAGCAGAAAGAAGACTCTTTAAGGAAGTAACCCAGTTCGAAGATTTTTCATCATCAAACTCATTTTTAGATTTTCCCATTAGCGGTGGTAATGGTGGGGGTGGAGGAGGTGCAATCATTTGTTCCATATATGGTGGAGGTGGGGGCGGGGGAGGCATTGGCTCCTCTTCGTCCATAAATGGTGGTGGTGGGGGAGGGGGAAGGGGTAAATTTTCATTTGTATATAGAAGGGGTGGCAGGGTTGAAGGCGATAAATCTTGTAAAGTAGGAGACTGTCGTTGAAATGCTGAAGTGTCAGGAAGTAGCTTATATGTCGGAGGGGGTGGTGGAGGGGGCTGACTTGGCCTTGCTGTAGCTCGAAGTGACATAGTCTTTGAAATTTGCTTTTGAAGATTTGAGATCTTACTTTGAATAATAAGAGGGTGTTGAGTTTCAGTTAACCCAGCATTATTATTTTTCTCAATGTGAATTTTAGATTGTTTGGGTACATCATGGGAATACTGGGGTTCAGTATGATGAGGTTGTTGACCCCAATGGTCATTGCATTTATTATCTGGCTTTCTTTCATACACATCCAAATGACTTGGCCTAGGTTGGTTGTTAAATGCATTTGCTTTAACGGAACCAGAATAATTGGATGAAAACTCCACTCCATGTTTTCTATGCTCATATTTCTGTACTATACTTGGAAGATATCGAGGTGTTCTCTTTCGATGACTATCTTTCTTTGTTCTCTGCAGAAACAATATTCAGCAATACAGAAGTCGTTGCTTTTACAGCGTCATTTTAAAATTTTAAAGAGAAGAACTAATGCGTTTAAAACGAACAATATTGATGCATATTTGTTTTAACCACAATTATTTGGTACAGAGGGTGTGTACTTATAATTCGTTTAAAGAATTCTAAAATTCACAATAAAATAGCACTTGTTCTTTAGTCCCATTAAAATAAAATTAATCAATCGATTACCTTCTCTTTTTTAGCCCTTGATTCCTTTTCTTTTTCTTTTATCCTGATATCTCTCTGGATCTCCATGAGCCACAACTCGATGAAAAAATTCGGATTGGTGTAAAACTTCAAACAGTCGCGTCCATCAGCTCTTTAATGATAGTACATAAAATTATTATATACTTCATATGATAAGATTAAGACAATGCACCTATATCTGGCAACATGACTTTTCTGGAAACGAGTAATTATACATGTACATGTACTGTATTTCAAAACCATTCAAAAACTAAGATTGGAAGGGTTTTTCAGATGCTTGACTTGCTCAAATAAGTATGTATATGTGTTAATTAGGCTAGTGGTAAACTGTTGCCTCGAAGAAGTTAAAAAAAATTTCTTTCAAGATTATTAAAGCTTTGGGACGGATTATTTTAAAATATCATGTAGGTACTTCTTCTTGAGTATTCATTGAGAATAAGGGCTTTTTTATTCATCTCTCTTTCAACTGAAAATCCATAAAATTAAGTGCAGATAGTCGTTACCCCTAAATTTAATGTCGATCTACGTGTCTGTATACAAGATTTTTGAGTCAGTGTTGTCCTGAGATCGGCAGAAGGCCCCTTGCTCCAATTTAAGCTAATCAGAATTCTTCGAAAGACTAAGTAATGAAAGCGAGGGATATAAATCTTTCCTTTTTCAAATCAAATGATATTTTTCACCCTTGGATTGCTATCATTATAAAGTCACAAGATCTAATGTCCTAATCAAAATACCTGAAAATCGATAAGGAAACCTTAACTTAATGAATGATACTAGCTTTAGCAATGTACTTCATCTTACTTCACGCGTTTGGAAACATATCGTAGTTGTCTTTCTTTTTTGAATTTACCTGTATTGGTTAAGTTTTTCCAATGCAGGTTTAGCTTCACACTGACTGTAAGCTTTAAGTACACATTGTGGTACTGTACATCTAGATACGACTTGCTGGTCAAGTCGGGTAGAGCTCTTGTATGGTGTCCTCTTGGCTACATTGTTGATGGAAACTAAACAGAACTTTTCAGATATTATTGCATTCAGCATCAAAGATTATGAGGAATATCATGAGTCAATTATCAACATATATATAAAATCACAAATGTATTATAAAGCAATATAATCTTGATTTTTCTCTCTATCTTTCTATATATACTGCTACATGTAATCTATAGAAAAAAGGAGTTCTCAAGGAATAAACTTGTAAACGATACCATAAACAATGAATATAATCAATAGTGAACAATAAAGGCACCTATATTTATAACCCATATCCTTCTCCCAAAGTAGTCTCATAAGCCTATTATAATTTCATCCTACCATGTTCTCCATCAGGATTCAGTCTGGTGACCTTCTCCTGTAGATGGTCTATTCTACCCAGGAGCTGCCGTGCACGGTCCCTGAACGTCTGCACTTCCTGTGACAGTTCAGTAAACATGTCCTCCGCATGCTTGTTGAGACTGCTGAGCTGTAGAATTATGTTACTAAGCGTGTGATTGGTCACGCATTCCAACTCATTTTTAATGCCATCTCCCACCTCTACCCGACTAACGCTGATGGGATATAAACACCGCTGTATAAATGGCATAGTCCTTTTTTACCACTTTTTACAGAAAAAATAAGAATAAAGAAAATAAATTCCCTGATACTAAGGTGGGATATATCTGATCATTAGATTATCAAAAGTACTTCGTTTCACCTATAAAATCAATTTGGAAATGACAAATTAATTTTCTACATTCGTATTTTACAACATGTATATGTACACGTAATACATTTTAAATTGTTTACTAGCTATAATAATCCATTTTTAATAATTACTTACATAGTTTATATCCAATGGTGAAATCCAAGGAGTTTCTTAATATTTCCTTCCGTCACGTTTTATATTTTATAACTACGTTGTTAAGACTGTAACTACTTTTCATGTGTGGCAATATGAAATTGATCTTCCTATATTTACACTATCACTTTTATATGAAACCTGAGCTTTTAAAAATGCTATTTTTTGTAATCTGTAAACGTTACATGTTTATTTTCAATTTCGAGGAAAATCACGTATGTTTGTTTTTTCCTTCTATGTTGCTATACAGTTATATGCATTAAAATGAACAGTAAACTGCCCTGTTATCGTGATAATTTTAAATTCAGAAGGAACTATTTAACTGTTTATGTTAGTTTAAGATCGAGTTATTCTTAAAATAGAAAATCACGAGTTAAATAAGAATTGATAAAAATGATTACGTTTCGAAAATGAATACCTAAGGTATGTTAGTTATATATTACAGATAAAGCGTGTTAGAAAGTTAAAAGGCAATATGCCGACATTCTATCCTCCCGTTTTCACTAAATTGGAGGTGATAAAAGAATCAGAAATACCAAATTAACAATAAAGACAAGACTTGTAACAACATCGTCTTTGTTTGTAAGGTTCATTATACTGTAATTTAGAAGAACTTGGTTTTAATTCTACGTCTGGAAATCCAACAAATACTCCCAGTTCACTTTCTAAGGATGAAATTCTTCAAAATTATATTTCAGTATTTAATACTTTCAACAAAGGGGAATTCCATTTACTCTGCCTTTACTGGATTCCTAAACTACATATTATAAATCCATACGAAGATAATTGTCGAGTCCAGCAAATGCTCTTCCAAGGCCCCTCTTTACTCCTCACAAAAAATTAACTGCTGTAAAGGAGAAACGTCAGAGTATTCGAGAAGTGGTGTTAATCAAATGTGGATTCTCAAATAATTAAAAGAACTTTTAGAAAAATTAAAACTCACATTTTTTTTCAAAAGTCAGTAACATCAAAACGTAAGACTTTTTTTTAACACTTTATACAACCATTCCTCCTGATAAATTAAAAATTGTCTTTTTGATATCATAGACAACTGCTTTTTCAATAAAAAAGGAACTCGAAAATATTCATATCTTGTGAATGGTCATCAACAAAATTACTTTGTTAAAAATCACTCTGATTCTACACACAAGTACTCTGAAGTTGATATTAAAAGGATGCATGCTGGCGTTCTCATTGACATCTATGCACGAGGGGTTATCAAAAAGTTCGTGGACTAGCGCCTTAAAATCAAAACCGTTTTAGGTAGATCAATGATTTTTTTTACACATTTAGTCATCATCATCTTTTCTATCTATAGAATAAACCATAAATCAGAAGTTTTATTTTTTTTAATAAGTTGATAACGTTTTTGTAAGCAATGGTATGTCCAGGCGGCGCAACCTCAAATACGACGTTTTTTTCCCACCTGAGTGTAACTGAGAAAAACTCATTTAATATGAGCATTTGTCATCAAAAAATTTCGCTAATTCAGCCATGTGGAACGACACAATTGTTCCGTAAATTTTGTCATTTTTACCCGATTCTGTAAGTTCTATGAAATTTTATCGTAAATTTTACATGGAGTGTCCAAACAATTATGGGCTTGAAAATGACGTCAAAAAGGGGGAGGGGTTTCTTTTTCCAACATTCTATAAAGTTTCTCTCCTGGAAAAACTGGTATAGACCCAAGGAATGTTTAAACGGGCTACAGAAAAATAAAATACATCCATAGTACTTGTTTTTAAATGCCCAAAAAGATTTAGAGAGATGAAAGATGCACAGTTAATGTCGATTTGTAGTTAGGATGTCAAACGTCAGTCACATCGAAAAGTGACGTTGATCATGTATGGTAGAAATTGAACTCCAGCAAGCTAAGTATTATGGTATAATCAAGTGAGGATCTTTCCCTATGTATAGATCCATTTACAATATTATATGAATTGAAAGCAGCTGTTCATTACATTGTGAAGACATTTAAACAAGACGGGCTTAAATCCTTACTTAACTCCCGGTAATCTCATCAAGATAAGTGTATGAGGTAGAGAGAGCGGACATTGTGAAACAATGACGTTGTCCGACGTCATGAAACTAAACGGCGACAGCGCCGGGTGATCACATAATGTCTTTTTATATAATGATAATTTGGCAAATTATCAACGTATCAAGCTAAAATTTTCAATATTTCTTAAACTTTTATTGTTTTATGTTCCTTATAAATTTTGTAAGCGCAGACTACATGGTATTAATTTTATCTGATCAGTCCACGAACTTTTTGATAACCCCTCGTAGTCTTTGAAGGTCTTCAATCAAACTGTTGGGATTTCAATGGACACTAATTGTGTTCCTTTGTTGGCCAACTTGTTTATATATTCCAAAGAAGCAGAATTTATTCAAAACCTTCTACATGTAGAAGAAGAAAACAATTGTTGTGGCCTTCAACTCGACATTTAGATATGTTGACGACGCGTTTTATCAATTACACGCATCAATAGTTACTTCCATTCAAGGTATCACACCGGTAATTGACCAATCAAAATGAACTTAGTCAATTGTAGTTCCATACATAATAAAGAAATATTTTTTTTATTGTGAGAAATTTTTTAATTTCCCTTATTCTATTTTTACATTTTTGGTATCTGTGCTTAGGATATTTTATGTACTTTGTAAAATATTAAAGGTTTTTGACAGGAACTATTTCTTTCGGGGCATAGGAGGCCACTTCCTGGGGTGCACACAGGATGTTTATAAACACATTGAATACACGTGGTTTTGAGGGTATTCCTGTTTGCGGATGGAAAAAATCAGAAAATGCCGTGTAGGTTCCCTATTTTTTGGTGTCAGCTGATGTGACTGGTAACGTTTAACACTTCCTGCTAAATATTTTTTCATGAATTCGAATACCTGATTTTTAATGATTTTTTATTCTATATAGAATTACATAGTGAAAACAATTACCGGTGTGATACCTTTATATGTCGACTCGATATAACCCAGTGAACTTGAAATTAAAGACACCTCTCAGAGTCTGTCACATCTTTTTCATATTTGGTTGTTTTACTGACAATAGAAGATAAGGATCAACTAACAACTTAATTTCGTGATAATCGAGATGGTTTCAGGTTTTTCCATCGTCAACTTTCTTTATTTATGTAGATAATATTCCGCCATCATCTGCAGATGGCGTTTATGTGTTCCAAATTATTCGACACTGAAGAGCACGCTCCGAGTACGATCAATTTTTAAACAGAGGCAGGCTACTGACAGATAAGTTGATGTTGCAGGGATTTGAACAACCTCGTTTAAAGTCAGCATATTGTACATTCAATGGCTGTAAAAATAACCGTGTTAGCAAATACAAAACCTATTTTGACTGACAAATTTCATAACGATTGTTTTTATACTAAATTTGAGTGCGGAATATTCCGACTACCTAATAAACACATGGGACTTACAGCCGCTGTGACGGGTCAGTAGCTAGGGGATGCTACTCCCCATAGGCACCTGATGCACCTCTGAAATTTCCGGGGGTCCATGTTTTATGCCCTGTTCACATATCTGTATTTTTTTTTTTTTAGATCTATCATCACTTTTCACATCTTTCTTATCTATTTATTCCGTCCACATAATATTCAATTTTCAGAAAGATATTTTCTGAAGGACTTACAAAACTTGACATAAGAAGTTTAAAAATATATGTATATATCTGCATATCAAACTTTTCAAGCAATGTCTCACAATTTATTAATAAATGATCATCATTCCATTGATAATACATGTATATCAATATCAGTTTTAATCAGGTAATGAAATTGTGCCTGGGATATTTGTTTCATTACAAGTAGATGATTTCGCCATCTGTAATTGAATGGATGATGTGTCATTTATGGTTGACATACAGTGTAGTTGTTGTTTAATGAGAAAATAACATCATAAATGAATGAAAAGTCATCAACTAAAACTATAACATTCAAAAACTCGGATATAGTGAAGTCCTGGGGACCTATGAGTTTACTCCGCTATATCCGTAATTTGTTACGCTGCGTATATATGGCGAATTCACAATAAACATGTTTTCCTTCAAATATGACTACCGAATATGTTTGGGGAAGTGTTTATACAAAAATCACCTTTGGACGACATTTTTCAAAGAAATTAATTTAAAAATTGAATACTTACGAAAAATAATGTCATTTCAATATTCAAATTTTGAGAACTTTAAAATTTGAGATGAATTAAGAGATGTTAAATTTTGTATTTTTAACCTGAACGGGACAAAATCAGTTTGCCAAAATCCGTACATTCGTTATATAAGAGCAATGATCATGTTTGCAAACACAGCCTGTCGTTAAGTCAAATGTTGACGGATTTTTCCTACAAATTGTTAGGCCATTGTTCTGACTCCGGATTTATCCGTTTATTCATTCAAACAGAGCTAGGTGACCGGTCCACAAGGAATGTTTACTCCTCCATGGCACCTTATCCAACCTCTTAAGTTTGCTCTGCTCTCAATTCCTATTCTTTATCTAAATTTTTGAACATGCTCATTTAAGGATTTAAGGATAAACTTAGTAAAGACCTTTTACTGTTAAACATCAAAGGGTCTTTAATTAAAAACGCTTTTTGTTTTTGGCCTGTGTTTGTAAACTTCTACGTGGATTACATGATTAAGAAGTCTCTTGCTCTGGCCTTCAATTCGATAGTTAGATACATCGAAGAAGTTTTATCAATGTAAATCAAGTAACAATTTCATTTTCATTCATACATTGATTCGTTATACCCCATTGAACCCGAAATAAAAGAAACCGCAGAGTCTAACGCACCTGTTTCATATTTTGATTTTCAACAAGAGAAAGACATGCCTCGGATGGCAAATTAACAGGCAAACTTCATGATAGACGATCAATTTCTAAAAAAAAAAAGGAGACTACTGACAAATTAGTGATATTATAATTCGTTTAAAGACAACATTTTGCAAAGTCTATTGTCGACATATAGAATGACTTTGTTTGTAAATACAACTTATCGTTAGGTCGAATGTTGACTGAAGTTATTAATATAAATTGTTTGGCCATATTTTTATACTGATTTGCCGACGGAATACTTCGTTTATCCGATTAAGACAAGGGGCTCACGGTGGATATGTGTAACCGATCGACAAGGGATGCTTACTCTTCCATAGCACCTGATCCCGTTTTGATGTTTTCAGATATCTGTGTTTGCTCTGCTCTCAATTAGTAATGTTTGATTGTACTTTTGAGCATGATTACTGCATTTTCGTTATCTTCAAATTACATAATTCGTAAGCTGTTAAAACTACCATTCTGTAAAAAAAAAGACTTCAAATAAAAATTAAGTAAGATGACCATGAGCTTGAAGATCATTTAATCACCAGGAATGTTTCTTTTTAAACACATATTACCATCTTCACAAGTAAGTTCCTCCGCTACATTTAGGTCTCAAACCAAATTTCTATTTCCAGGTGACCTTGACCTCAGTAAAATGAGCTTGAGTCAAGTTAGTAGTTACACCCTCTGCGACGTGAATGAGCAGGGTTAAATGTTTCTTTGCTACTGAGAAAGGAAGAATTGCCTCCGTTTCCTTCAAATGACTTGACATCGGCTTTATGCCCGACATACACTGTATTGTAAGAACATGGACAATTTTTTTTTTAAATAAATTAATTTCAAGCATCTACCTTTTTTTTTTTTTTTTTTTTTTTTTTTTTTTTTTTTTTTTTTTTAACTTATAATCTTAACCTACTTGGTATTCATTTAATGAAAACTTATTCAATCTGAATATCAAGTGAGGTTTGAGTTAAATCTAAAAGCACAAATATATGTTTTGTTTTTCCAAATGACCCTGTTTTTGAGCCTCAATCCTTCCTCCAGTGAAAAAAAATATTCAAGTTTGGTAAATGGCACATTTCTCACGTCATGCAAACAAATCTGTCTGATGGACATTCATAAAGAGTATTTCTAAAATGCATATGTATGCATTTTTCACTCATGATCAACTCAGCCACACTCTGGGGCAGGTATCCTGAACGCAGAAGTTCCGTATGTCAAATCTTTAAGAGAAATTAACTTCCTTGTTCAGTGTAAACTTTCGAACTATCAGTCTAGATCTGCTAGATATCAAGAAGTTTCAATGTATGGCCGACGCAGCTTCATCTTGGGAGTCTGGTGAAGGCACCAATTAGACATTAATTTTCTCCCCACTTCTCGGTGTTCAGATAAACCTCGTTATCTCGTACTGGATGGGCTCGAGAAAAAACTTCCGAGATATCCTAGGGTTAGAGATATTGGGGGTAAAAAGTGATTAACTTGGCTCCACTGCATTTCTAAAGAGAAACCGAAGCATTTAACATTTTTACGCTTCTTCACCCATGAATTTTACATACATGCATAAATTTTACATAGATGTACAAAATAGCAGAAACTGGGCCGTCAAAGCTGAAAACGACCAGAATTTAAATTTACAACCGATGTACATATATGATGAAGGCTGAGATTGCATTAGTTCACCTAAGTCATAAGTTTCCATACCTCAGCATATCAGTGTAAAGTCTCTTAGAAAATATAATGCTATGGTTCGTACAGCCCAGCATCATTATTTTTATGCCCTTTTCCAGCACTTTTAACATCTATTTTTCCCGCACAGTATAATCAAGAAAATAAAAAATTGACAAAATTGGATTGGATTTATATTTTAAAAAAATCTTAAGCTCATTTATCCTCTCAATCATGTTTTTCCCAATATTTTCTAAATGGTAATATGATACATAAAATGGGAATCAACATGATTTTCTTCAAGCACTTTTCGATGACTTTTTTTTTTTTACTGCTTCATTATTTTCAAGCACTGGGTCAAAATTTATGCACTTTTCATGGTCTGTAAAACCCCTGAAATAATAAATCTCAATAACATAAAAAAAAATGCAATCAAAATAAAGCAAAGTTTATTGCATATGCATGAGAAAAAAAAGCTACTACAACGTAGTTAACTCCATGGTTTTATCTAAGAAGAAAAAAAAATCCCCATATACAAATACTGGTCAATTAACATCATTAATAAGCACTTCTATTACAATTTATAATTCAGAGTAGTGTAAATACATATAGTTGATTATCAGAAAGTGGACTTGTGTGGCTCACTTTCCAACATCTGCAAACTTAAACATTTATGCCTTTCAATTGATGTTTAAAAGGCATTACTTTTAATAATGTTATCAATTAAAATAATTTAATGGCAAAAAATTACACTTTTCTTCCATATTAAAAGGCATTCACACATGTTCCATAATTCAAAGCTAATTCACAATAAAAAATAATATGTTTTATTTTTTCCTGATAGAGAAATCATATCAAGTCACTGCGTAAATTATTTTACATACAGTAAGTGCAGTACATTTTTGTAAATTTGTAAAAGACCAAGTATTTAACACTCTAACAGGGGCAAAGTTAACTTTGTTTACAATTATTGAATTACACAACTGTTTACATGACATGAATATATGAGATAATTCTGTTTGACTATGGATGTTTTATATAATGTATTTCCTTCACATTAAATTTTGCAGAAAAAGACACATTATTTGAAAAGTATATCTATGTAGGTAAATGCATGAATACGTATCTATTAATACTTTGTTATATTTAAAACTCACAAAGAGTTCTGGAAGAAAATGTTTATCTAATTTAATTACTTTGCACCATATAGGAAAATGGAAAAGATTAACACACATAGAGATATTAAACTGTCTTTTTATAGAATAGAAAAAAAAAACATCTTTAAGAAAAATTAAAGTGTTCAAAAAAGTTTGTTTATGTGCAGAGTTTCAGAATAATAAATAAATTTTAAAAAATTGAAAAGGGAATGACAATATTGAAAGCAGTAGATACAAAGCAAATGCTCGATACAGACAGCATACTGAATATGGTATGTCTGAGGTAGTCTATATAAATTCCTAAATTAAAGCCTTTTTTCTCCATGGAAAGTTTTTCTTTAGGGTACGGTAAGATTTTGAACGAGTCAGAAAAAAAAAAAAAGCATTCCATACTTCATTAATATCTTGTATTGTATAGTGAGCAATACAAAAGTGTTCAATTTACATAAAGGTGTGGAACGAAGAGACATACACACTTTTTTTGCCACAGCTGATGTATGTTCATTTCCAATTCACATTAGAAGAAAAAAGATTTATATTATTTTTTTCTCTATTTATACATAAATGGCTGGGGAAAATTTGCCTTATTAAAGATGTAACACATGCTGTGTATGGCCACAGAGTCAAGTGTAAGGTCCCTTATTTGCCCCCAGACTAGTGCAGTAAACACTGTCTAATCCAACACCTGTGTAATACTTTTCACTGTTAATTCCGACCTTCATTTTAATTCCTGTTTTGCTATTTTCTATGTTCCCACTGTACAATCCAACACCCTGTCTATTCCAAAAGAAAATTTCTCTCACGGTGCAAGACAGATTAGACAGGTTTCACTGTACTTAGATTTAAACCAGAAAAGATGAAGAATCTGCAAACAAGTCAAAGTCAAACGACACACTTGAATTGTAGAAAGCTAAAATCATGAATGTACAGAAGCTACCACTTTTATATCTACCTCCTATGACATATCATCTTCATCAGACAAGGAAACTTGTGTTTATTTCCCTTCCTCTGGTGAAAAAACTAATATTGCACATGAAAAATCGACTTTAAATTAAAGTTATGTACAAAATAATACACCATAAAGACTTTCTAATGGGAAAATCATGGCTTTACCTACATGTAGCTACTACTGTAGATTTATTTTCACCACACATTAAATAGGAATTAATATACAATTAACAAGTACTTTTATTCAAGGAAGACAACTGAGGGTTAAGCAAAAACAGCAGCAATTTATCAATATAATTATCTCCCTATCCATGTGATGAAATTAAAGTTTACATACAGGGCTAAGAAAATACAGTATTTCGGCATATTGGCTAGAAGAAAATATTTAGAAAGCAATACATTCTGAAACTGAAAGTTTTTTGAGTATTGTTGCACTGTACTTTGATGGAAAACTGTTGCAATAGATGTCATATTCTACAATTATTAAGTGATGTCTACAAATTTCATGTTGCATGTAATGAATAATTTTACTCTTTTTAAACAATAATTTTTCTTCATCAGTAGTATGGATAAAATGTACTTTTATCACTACAATTCACACCTTTAACATGTCAAATTCAATACCTTCATGTATGTATTATACGCAGTATGAAACACTGAGGAATATGTCTTACCAAACATGAAGAATTTCTTTAGATAGCACACACATACCAGAAATGTAGATAAAATAGTAAAAATATACCACTGACTGTCTTAATTATACCTGTGTGTTAATCATAAACAAGATGCAGAGAGAGAGAGAGAGAGAGAGCAACATAAATGTATATTCAAGTGTTCTTATCACATCCTGATATTATGCTTTAGAAATTAAATTGTATGTATGAGATATATATAAATCTTAAATTCATTTATACTTATTAAGTAGATATACCTGGATATCATAATAATTCGATTTTACACCGATTTCTTACTTTGTCTCTTAAAATCAAGGTATAATATGGGAAACAGTGATCATGGATCTATACACAGAATGAAGTGACACATACTGAGGTGATGGGAGAAAGTTTCTCTATGCCATAATAAAGCAGTCATCTTTGATTAGTTATAAGACATTCCTTGGATTATACAATTGTATATATATAAAACATGGATTAAGGGCAATCTTTTGATAATATTTTGTCCTGTATTATGTGTTTACAAATACATTCTCACTGCATCAGCTGAATACAAAGCCGCATGCAGTTCTTTTCAAGTTGCATGTCTTTCACCTCCCCGAATATTTCATTCAAGTTGGGTCTTTGGAGAAAATCCTGTTGTCATGGATACACAATCAACAAGAGATCTCAGCAGCATTTGCTGCCTATGGTATACACTGTAGTTTTGTACAAGTCTGGAGTTAATGCTGATCAGTCCCATTCATCATCAGAAGAACCGTCTTCTTCTTCACTTTCTTCTATCACTTTACGACGCATTTCAAATGCTCTGTTCATGATGGAATGAACATCAAAGTTTCCACCAGGTGCAGATTTGTCTCTTTCTTGTTTCTTCTCTTCCACCTTACGTAATTTATCTTTATCTAAAAAATATCATAATTTCATTATTCTCAGCAATAGCTTTATGTTTAACAAATGTACCATAATTATGTTAAATGTTTAAAAGAAAACAAATCATCTAGAAGTGTTTTAGGAATTGCCCTATTATTCATTACAATTTTTTCTCATTCAATTGATCTAGCACACCAAACCAGCTCCATGGAGAGAAGGATAAATTATTGCATACATGGATGTGCTTTGTAAAATTGCTTCTGAAGAAAATTTGTCTTCTTTTTGAAACAAAATTTTCTAATAACTCTTTCCAAAATTTTCACAATCTACAACTGTTTATCAGTTAGAAGTTTGTTTTTAAAGTGAGAAACAACATGAACAACATTACAGATACTGAGACCTTAAGAAAAATACATTCAAATAATTTATCACTGGCTTAAAAATGCAAACACAGCATCAGTGCATACTTCTATTGCAACCCAGTAACAAAATGAAAACTTACGAGTGCCCAGTCGAATTTGTGCCAACAAGTTACTTCTATCATCCACCATGGGCTGTGGCTTTGGTGTTGGTTTCAGTTGTGGAGAAGCACTAAGATCCATTTTTAGGGAACTAGAACCAGTTGAAGAACTCTCATCATCAAAGCCATTAGTCATAGGCATAGGTGGCGGAGGAGGTGGTGGTGGAGGGGGTGCCATCCCCGTATCCACAGGTGGTGGAGGTGGGGGAGGGGGTAGATTTTGTTCTGGGCTCATGGGAGGGGGAGGAGGTGGGGGAGGCAGATCCACCTCTTGCCTTGCAGGTGACGGTCGGTGAGTGGTGGGCACTCTAGAAATTTCTGGACTAGGGTGGTACCGTCTTGGATCCTCATCTTCACCCAGTGGTGGAGGTGGTGGTGGCGGTGGTAGGCTGTCCCTGTTTGGACTGTTATGATGATGATGAAGATGTGCATTTGACATCAAGGGAGGAGGTGCAGGAGGAGGCTGACTGGGCCTTGAGGCACCAATACTTCCAGAGGATCCCCGGTGTGACATATTTGACATTCGGTTCTGCTGAGGAGATAACTGGTTTTGAATGCTTTGAGGATGGTGACCTCCAGTCTGGCCAATATAATTATTGTTCTCATTTTGAAAGTTAGACTGTCTTGACACATCCTGAGAATACTGTGGCCCATTAGGAGGAGGTCTTGAGCCCCTATGGTCAGTGTCAGGTTTTCTCGTTTGCACCTCTAAGCTTCCGGGTCGTGGTTGGTTGTTTTGTATATTTAGTTTAGCGGGATCAGCATAATCGGATTTGTTGGAGAACTCCACTCCCTGCTTCATATCCCGGTATTTCTCCACTACTGTTTGCACCTGTCGTGGGGCTTTCTTTTGTTGATTTGGCTTCTGTGGTCTCTGCAAAGAAATAATTAAAAGGTGAAATCTGATTACTACAAGTATTTGTTCTCACATATTTTTTATTTTCATACAAAACAAAATGCATAATAAATGAAAATAGAACAAATATATTCAGGTTAGAAATAATTTTATTCTACTGGTCCATTGGGCTTAGGGTAAAAAAAAGGTCAAATGATGAATTGAAATAACAATAGATTACAAGCGAGTTATTCCACAAATGGTTATTAAATATTTCAAGGAAAATATGAGTGTAATATTTTTCGTGACATAATATATATAAATTGTTATAACAGTAACTTGATCTGAAGAGTCGTTTCATGTCAAGTTGACTGGCGCGGATCATTAGATCAAAAGAGACGTGAAGCGTCAAGTTTGATCTGATGATCCGCACCTGTCAACCAGAAGTGATATGGCTCTTTGGATCAAGTTACTGATACAATGATAAATTTATTATATACCCCTTTACAACTAGCAAAATATAACAAAAGGAAACTTTTTGGATCAATTACATAACTTTTATTTATTTTACAAAACATTTTGTCAAGGAACTTTTTGATACGCGAGAATAAAAACGTCACTTATCTGTGTACTACGTCATCAGTTTCAGAGACGGGTGATATGGATTCAGAAAACCACAGTGTAGTGATCCTGAACGTCGGATAACACCGTCACGCGATTGCACAACTTCAACAGTAAAATTGAGTGACAGCAGTTGGGTATATAATAAATGTTTGGATGATTAGACCTGCCTGGATAATTTACAGTTCACTGTTAATTATTTGAATTTTACAAAACATTCAGTATAATATAATAAATACAGCAAGTGGTTCAGGATAACATTGAAAATATTCACCCCTCGAAAACCACTGTCAACCTCAACTGTGCCTCGATTGCCAGTAGTTTTCTTCGGGTGAAAATTTTCAATGTTACCCTCAACCCTGGTGCATGCAGTATTTACATATTACATGTATATCACATGGAATTTTTGACCAGTAATATCATTAAGAAACATATACAGGATGAACAAGTGAACAAATGTTTGCACATGATATAAAAAGCCCACAGGTTTCAAAACACTACAAATAAAAAAATACAATTTAAATGTAGAATTCTGGTGTTTTCAAATTCTTTTTTGTGTGTAAATCTGGAAATTGAGTGGGGAAAGAGAAGTTACCTTTTTCCTCTTGGCTTTTAGTTCAGTTTTCCTATTTTCTATATCTTTTTGGATGTCTTGGAACCATAATTCAAAGAAATACCCTGGATCTGTGTAAAACTTCACACTATCCCTACCATCCTCTCTGAAAGGCAAGTGCATGAGCAAAAAGTAAAAAAACTGTAACTTTCTTTTTCAAAAATAAATCTGTACAGTATATCTTTGAACAATTGAGGAATATTAAAATCAATTGTTCTGGAATGGGAGGACTTGACTCTATACATTTTATTTTAGGTAAATGTTACTGTTATCTGAAGATATCAGGGGTAAAATATTTAAAGAGTACTAAGTGGTTGGGACTTTCAAATCACTTCAACATATCCATAATATTCGAAATATCAGTGTTCGAGATACCGAAGTTCAACATCATTACCTTTTATTACCTGAGGTAAGTATATATTTACCTGTAGGGGTTAAGTTTGTCCAGAGCCGGCGTAGCTTCACATTGACTGTAGGCTTTCAGTATACATCGAGGTATTGTAGATCTGGAAACCACCTGTTGGTCGTGTTGTGTAGAACTCTTGTAAGGTTTCCTCAGGTGTATATCATGAATGGACACTGTGAAGAACATTTCAAATAATATAATCCATGTCAAACAATACATATTAAAAATTATCATAATTTTGAAGATTCATTCAAAATAAATCTCAAAATTGAGCACCACCATCATTTATTGTACCAAGGAGCTTACAAAACAAATATTATAAATCATTTCACAAATTTAACACATCAGTGATTCAAACATAATTCATGAGTTTACTAGTTAAAAATACATGTATTAGCCAAAAGATTTAACAACCCTTTCTCAGCCTTACTGTTTGTATAGATTTTCATGTGTGTAACGTTATCATGTCAATAACACAACACCAAGAATTTATAAAAACCTTTCCATAGTTAAGCCCTACCTAGTTCTCCGGCAGCATCCAGCCTGGTAACCTTCTCCTGGAGATGGTCTATTCTCCCCTGGAGCTGCCGCGTACGGTCCGTGAACGTCTGCACTTCCTGTGACAGCTCGGTAAACATGTCCTCCGCATGCTTGCTGAGGCTGCTGAGCTGCAGAATTATGTTACTGAGCGTGTGATTGGTCACACATTCCAACTCATTTTTAATGCCCTTCTCTACCTCTACCCGACTAACATTTATGGGTTCCAAACACCGTTGTATAAATGGCATGGTCTGTTACGTCAGCTCTCGCTGTAAAAATAAAAGAATTATTAGGATCAAACTCTTTGGTATAATAATAAAAGAACACGTACTTAGAAATATTATTCTGGAATTAACTCCATTTATACAACGAAATTTATGAATAGATATAGCAAATTTATATAACATAATATGCCCTTTGATTTTATTAAGTTTAACATACTGAGCACTGTATCACTTGATAAACAAACATCATTATGATCATACATATCAAGAAACTGCCATTATTTATTTAGATAGAAAATGACGTTCACAGAAAATCTCGTAACTGGTTTCCATTGCTCTGAAAATTTTCTCTGCAATGATTTTTCTTCAGCCAATTTATGTTCGAATATCTGCTCTTTATATAAGGTTGCTAAAATTTCAAAAATTTCCCCATTTGAACATGTATTCCCCCTCCCAAAATAAAAAAAAGAATGGTCAATGTGATTGAGATTTAATTTTAAAGTGTTAAAGAAAAGTTATACAAAGGACGGAATTAAATCAAATCAATTGTGCATTGTTTGATATTCTATATTTAAGCTTACTGGATATTTACAATTGATAACTGGTTTTTCCCCAGTTTGTCCAAAATTTCGACAATTTTTCCTAATTCAAAAGCCACAGTCACCTTTTTAAAAATTTTGAAAAGTCGCTGATCTGACTTTGAAATTATACTCTAGCTTTCTCATGATAGATTTTACATAACTCCAACAATCTTACATGACTGTATTAACAATTTTGCACATTTTTTCTTATAAAATATATTTCTTATACAAGAGGCCCAAGGGCCTTGAATCGCTCTTCTGATAAACTGTACAACCTATCACTTCTATTTGAAGCCTCAAAAAATCCTGTATATTTAGATAAACCCTTGAAATTCCAATTCACACTCTGAGAACCCAAGATGATTCTAAGCCAATTAGTACCTGAGAGTTGGTCATGGTGACCTACTTTTCACTTGTCATTCTCTGAGGACCCATCAACTAAGTTTGATGATTCTAAGCCAATTAATACCTAAAATTTTTTTAAAATTGTAACCATAAAAATTTATAAGTAGGTCAAAGTGACCTACTTTTCAGTTGTTGTACTCCAAAAACTCTAGATGCATCAACTGACAAAGTTTGGTGTTAATTAGTACCTGAAATATTTAATTAAAGCCATAAATTTTCAAAAGTAGGTCACGGTGACCTACTTTTCAGTTTTTGTACTCCGAGGACCCAAGATGCATCAACTGACAAAGTTTGATGATTCTTAGCCAATTAGTACCCAAAATATTTAATTAAAGCCATAAATTTTCAAAAGTAGGTCACCGTGACCTACATTTCAGTCAACCTACTCCGAGGTCACAACATGCATCACCTGACAAATTTTTTATGATTCTAAAGCCAAATAGTACTCGAAAATATTAAATACACCCATAAAATTTCAAAAGTAGGTCACCGTGACCTACTTTTCAGTTGTTGTACTCCAAGGACCCAATATGCATCAACTGTAAAAGTTTGATGATTCTAAGCCAATAAAGTACCTGAAATATTTAATTAAAGCCATAAATTTTCAAAAGTAGGTCACGGTGACCTACTTTTCAGTTGTTGTGCTCTGAGGACCCAAGATGCATCAACTGACAAAGTTTGATGATTCTAAGTCAATTAGTACCTGAAATATTTAATTAAAGCCATAAATTTTCAAAAGTAGGTCACAGTGACCTACTTTTCAGTGGACCTACTCCAAAGACCCAAGATGCATCAACTGACAAAGTTTGATGATTCTAAGCCAATTAGTACCTGAAATATTTAATTATAGTCATATAAATTGAAAAGTAGGTCACAGTGACCTACTTTTCAGTTGATGTTTTTTGAGGACCCAAAATGCATCAACTGACAAAGTTTTATGATCATAGGCCTTGAAATGTCCAAATTATGCCTCTAAAATGCTTCGAAATCGAATGCCTGCAAAGTTCAGAAAGTAGGTCACTGTGACCTACTTTTTAATAAATCTGTTTTATGGCCCCAAGATGCATCAGCTTACAAGATTTAATGATTCTTAACCCCTTTGTATTCGAATTAATGACCTTAATTGTTTTGAAAAAGATTAGCAATAAAATTTAAAAAGTAGGTCAAGGTGACCTACTTTTAAGTTGACGTACTTCAAGGACCCAAGATACATTAATTGACAAAGTTTGATGATCATAGGCCTTAAATTGTTCAAAATATACCTCTAAATCATTTTGAAAAAGAATGGCCGCAAAATTTGAAAAGTAGGTCACCGTGACCTACTTTTGAGTCAACATGATTTGAAGTCCTTAGATGCATCAACTGACAAGATTTGATGATCCTAGCCCTTATAGTAAGCAAAATATCAACATTTTAATAAAATGTAATTTTTGGTCAACTTTGAAGTGACCTTGAGACCACGCCCTTTGCCCCAGGGTAAATCCCCGTGCAAATTTTAATCTACAACATATCTTCATCCTTTTGTGTAAGTTTGGTGATAATCTGCCCAGTAGTTCTTGAGAAGAAGATTTTTTAGCAACCAGTACTTTTGTTTTTATTTTCCTAATTATCTCTCCTTGTTTAAGGGTCACAACCCAAGTTTTAGTATAAAAGAAAGCCCTTGGGCCAAGGATACCCTATGACAAATTTGACAATAATTGGCCAAGGGGTTCTTGAGTTATGGCCCATATTCTAAAAAGTTTACGCACACCGCACGCCGCACACCGCACAAATGGCCATAGCATTAGCTCTTTGAGCCTTTGGCTCAGAAGAGCTAAAAACCTAATCTTTAAGGAGACCTTTGTCTTCATAAAATCAAATCTTTCTGTATAAATCATACTCACTATGAAAGATCTAGCACCAATACACACTAAATGCAGTGCTCATTTCATTGTGCAGTAATCATTGATTCATAAGAACACATTCCAGTGACTGATCAAAATAAAATTTGCAAGTGTATTCAATTAGGTATCTACAGTGAAAGATCACTGTATTCCAAACCTGGAAACAGGCACTCAGTTTCCTCATCAATATGTTAATAACTAAATTTATTAAACTTTGATTTTTTTCCCTCTTAACTATCATTCAAAAATCTTAAAAAATCACCATTTTCCCTAGTTGACATGATAACTGAAGTGGGACTGATAATACAAAATCCATGTAGTACTACATGTATTTGTTTCAAATCAAATACATTTCAAATTTTCACTATTAGGACGAATCAAATCATGATTGTGTAATGGGCAAAAATAAATAAATAAATAAAATAAAAATGCAAGAGTCCAAACCAGGATTTGAACTTAGGTCCCCTGAACTGACTTGCCAAATGAGTCAATCGAATCTGTCTGACCATCAAATTCCTCTCTCCTTAAAGGTCTTTGCTGCCAAAGACACCAACCCAGGCTCTTCCCTGGCAGGTCTTTTACCTGTCACTTCCAGGGCACCATATGTAACTGGCTTGGAGAAGAATGCAATGAACCAGACCAAGATTTAAACCTGTGCCCCTGAATCACTAGTCAGCTAGGTGCTCTACCAACTGGGCCACCAGCTATAGAAAATGCTACTCAGCAACTGTTTTAAAATTATTTTTCCTTGAAAACAATATAATTTGACAAACTTATCGACTTGTAAATTTACAGAATTTTCAGTCATCATGATCATGATGATTATATAATTTATAAAAGATTGCTCAAAAAGTTCACTAATTAAATGTTAACCTTGATGAATATAACTGTTTTCATTATGTATCCCATGTTATAAAAAAATATGGTCAACATCAACATGATCAAGAGATATGTACTATCTGGTTTTCTTTATCATGTTTGAACATATGTATGTAATTCATACATACTTGGGAAGTTCCTTATATAGAGTTTAAAAGAAGGGACACTGATGCTTAATGCACTGATAAATACACACTGACACATGCACTACCAAAAAATAAAGTACCAGGAAACAAAAATATGACAAATTTCTTACTGGCTATAGCTTGGGCATAAGGTGCATTTTGCTGAACATTAACCGTATGCCCAACTACAGAGACATCTGGTCCTTGGGACTGAATAAAATTATCACTAAAATACTGACTTCAAATCAGACAAGAATATGTTTTAAATTTCCAGTTGTCAGGTTATATATATATATATATATATATATATATATATATATATATATATATATATATATATATATATATATATATATATATATATATATATATATATATATACACACACACAAACACACACACATATTATGTTTCTTAAGTTTATGATTGATTCACACATATGACCAATATCATCATCCTACAAGACTCCATACAATCAATTTAAAACAACAGGATAGAGCACAGAGGAAGTTGGAGATCTTCAGGTCTTGTTTACAGACATAATCTGATGGCTTGGATGAATACAATTCAAGAAGTACATCAGCGTACATCATTGTAGTGATAGCACATGCAGGAAAGTCTGACATCAATTGTAAGGACATCCACATCCCATAAATCAATTTTTTTTCATAAATTAAATTATCAGGAACACATTATTATATACATCTTTTTTTAAGTTCCTATTTTGCATGTCAAATTTCCTATATATCTGCACTTTATTGAAGTGTATGAAATCAGGTCAATTTAAGAATGCAACTTTTAACATTTATATCAGAATCTGAAATATTTAGTACACTCAGCAAAAGTTAAAAATAATAGATATCAGGTATGAAGATATCAGGAAAAAGGCATCCATTATTCATTTCATCATGTTACCAAGTTTGAAGCCTGAAAGTTGGATAAATCTTGCATGATTTTCCTCACAAACTCTTAAACAACTCAACACTACTAATGAATGTTCCTATTAAGAAATACGAACACCATACAGTCACTATATAGATACAGGTATATACATGTGGTACAAATCAAATGTATAGATTTATACAATAAGCCATGAAGAATATGAACTACAACCTACATATTCATGATGTTCCAATGTAACGAACACTTAACATTGTTTTCTAATTAAATAC